GGCCTGAAAACTGAAGGCTCTCCCTCCCATTCTACTTGTAAATACTCTAATACTTTACTTTAATAATTAAAGTAAAGTAAAGAAACCATGGAAATTATATTATTCTAGTTATTATATATATATATTATGGATATATATGGCTATATGGACATATATATGTGGATATATTATATATTATTAGTTCTGTCCACTCACTACACACATATTTCTCCAGATTACAGTGTGAAAGATCACTGACAGAATTAATTTGAAGTTCAGTCACAAGTTATGAGCCCTGCATGCCACCAGTACAGAATAAGGTTATTAAACAGCTTGTTATAGCTGAGATTTTATGCACCTGATCTGAATAAGACTTTTTTTGGTACAACACACATAAAGCCTTTAATTGGTCTACTTACAGTTATAGAGCAAATAACTGGCCTAATAGTAATTAGTTACTTTCGCTGCTTTCCAAACTGCATGCCATGCATTGCATTGTATTTTACTGCGCTTTGACATTTTGTCCTTGTTTGAAAGCTGACAGTGAGGCGTACAGGCAAAGGGAGTGGGTGGGGGTGGGTGACATGTGACAAAGATCTAAACGTCCTACACTGAATGCACCGGCACCGGCTGAAAGGTGATTAACCACAAATAAGAGTCGGATCTAAAGGAGAGCAGCTGTGCTCTGTCTAGCTTTTCATACAGCAATTATTTTACAGATACAAGCTACATTTCCAAAGCAAACCATGGTAATGGAAAATAAACATGCTTTCTCAAGTTTTCTTTGCAGCATTTCCTTTAAAGTTTCTCCATGTCTAATATAGCTGGTGAATATCCCCTCTTTGTATGTATATGTATGTTCGAGGCCATTGTAAAGATTCATTAACGCTAAACGTAATGTCTGGAAACTTACTCTGAGCTGAGCCCAACCCCCCATCTTCCACTAACATGGAAAAACGCAACTTGGAGGGGTTAGAGGAGGAGTTTGGTGTGGTGGATGGGGGTTGTGTGTGTCCGCATGTGTGTGAATGCAGCACTTTGCTGAGGCTGCAGATGGAAACGGGGTCTTTGAGTTTAAGGGCCAGTGTTGAAACCACTAAGAAACTGGTCATACGGAGGTCGAGTGTATCAGTCTGTGGAGGTCAAAC